GCATAAACAACATTTTTTCCATCACCTTCATAAAAATAAAAGTTTCTTCGAAGAGTCCTGAATAAAATACTAAATTTTATTGTATGTGATTATTAGTGAGAAAGATAATTCGCTCGAATAATCTGTTACGCTCGCGCGATCAAATCGCAAGCCCACACTTGTGAACACGTACGGACACTCCCGCCAAGACGTAGGAATAAATAGACTTTACTTAAGAAAAGCAAAATTCTTTATTCGTCAACACACAACAGTGCGATTGTAAAGACACGGAAGCGATCGAAGTACGTCTGAATGTATAGCGATGGCTCGTACAAATCAATGGCGTCTGTTTAACACACATCGAATTTTACACCCGGGAGACTGTTCATCTTCCGAGGAAGTATCAAAAAGGAGGTTCTACTTTTAGTGCATGTAGACAATCGAGTTGTAAGCAATCATTTTTGTGCAAATGAACTGTTAGCAAAAGTAATGTAGGCAACTAATATTGTAAGCAATCGATTTGTAGGCAACGGGATTTCCCTCCAGAAATTAAATAACTCAGAATCTCATGGAGGAAAGTCAATACTGAGAGAAATGATTTTGTTATAGGAACAAATCAAGGGAAAATAAATGTGATATTTGTTAAAAAAACGATGAATTAATTACTATTGCAAATTAATTATTTCTCATTTATCAATGTAACAAATAATCAATAGTATCGCTTGTAAATAATAGGCTCATATATAAATATAATATACATATATAAAAGTCATAGACCGTCACAGAATCTCAAATCGTAAAAAATTGGCCGATTCTAGTCAAGCATTCTCCTTATATTTGACTGTGATTGATCAATTTAAGACTTAAGACTTCATGATCATCTACGATTATGTGTAAAGCCTAAAGTCTATCCAAAAAATAAGTTAGATTCTATATATAATTTGCTTCTGTTATTAGTAATTGATTGGTGTGCATGTGTATAGCAGACTAGCAGCAATCACAACAAATCAAATTTGTTATCACATATTTACCAGTCACTTGTTAAAGATACTGGTGGCTTGTTAAATTAACAAAATCCTTTCTCTCAGAGAAATTACGAAATCCTCCCAGAGAACATTGAGATGTCTTACAAGATATCATAAAGACGTCTTAAAATTTATAAGAATATTCTTTGGAACTGTCAGAAAGATGTATATGTGACATCTTTAAGTGTCTTATCACGATTTATGATGTCTTACAGATTTTATCCTTAAGATTTAATTGTTTCAGACATTTATCTAAAAAATAAAAATAAAAATTACTGATACCAATTTCTGCTTCCTCTTGTCAATACATTTCCGGGAGCTTCGCATAAATTATAGTTGTATGATCAAGGTCTAAAAGATTGCAACACTTTTTAAAAATGGATTTCGGAATGCAACCTATTCACCAAAATAATTATTTGTCGATCCATGAATAAGAACTAATCGCTTCGTGAGGCTGCATTCCGAAACCCATTGAAAAAAAGTATTGCAATCTTTTAGGCCCTGACTATACAACACTATAATATAATACAAAATATTAGAATGCCAGATTAATTGACATCAAAATTTTTATAGGGTACGTTATTATATATAGGAGAGACCGGAGCAAGTTGTTATAATTTTTGATTAGCAATTTTTTCCGTACTAATGTATACACTTCAATAAATGAATACCTATGCATTGCTTCAAATACATTTTTAACTAGATAGTACATTTTTTCCTGATTTGTATCTATGTTTTTAAATATTGAAAATTAAACTTCTATCGATAGGTAAATTGTAACAACTTATCCCACTGTGGGGCAAGTTGTTACAAAGCTGGGGAACAAGTTACATTTACAATATTACTTGAAATGTATATATAGTGAGTGCAAAAAGTATTCGTACAAAGAAAATATTTTTTAAAGAAACTTTATTTTTAAAAAGTAAATATTATCCAGCGAAAAATGAGTCATCGAATCGATACGATGATTTCAACATCAATTCGACGTCGATTCGATATTTAATTGACGATCATTTCTTGCTGGGTAATTTATTCATAAAAAATAAAATAGACTGTATGTTTCTTAAAATTATATATATAATACCAAAAAGATGTGTATTAATTATAGAAAATATATCATCTAAAGAATAACCGAAAATTAAAAATTCTATTGTTTGAATGTTTAAAAAATATTCATACAATCGAGAAATTTAGTTTCTAAAATTAGAAATACATGCGAAACTCGTTTGTTTATATTAGAACAATATATTCACTGTTGTAAAATTGCTAATTAATGTTTATTTTTTTATACAAATAACTTACTTTATACAAATAAAACTTTTTTATAAAAAATTTTTTGTACGAATATTTTTTGCTTTCAC